ATATATATATATATATATATATATATATATATAAAGAGAAAAAGAAAAAGAAAGAAGAAATGGGAGAGAATTTGGGGCAAGCAAACAGTCCTGTACACAACAGGGCTGACTTGTTTCTGTGGAGGAACAGTGCCCTGCTGCCTTATGGTACTTGTCAATGGTTCTTAGGTTCTGCAGTTGAAAGATTATCATATAATAAAGTGTCCAGTTTCTCTGAGGTTCTTGAAAGTGTGAAATGCCAGGTCAAATGCAGGTTAAGGTAATCATCAAGAAGAGGAATAGCCTTGAAGGCCATTAGTCACGTTTTCATTTTGCTCCTCACAGCTGCATGGTTTTGGAAATTTTCCAGTTAGTTGGATAGGCAATCTATTTTAGTTTATCTAATCAAATTGTATTTCAGAGCTTTAAATTACCTTATCTCTTGAGTGCTTCTATTGTTGCTTGATTTTTCTGATCCTTCCTTTTGCAATGATACATCTGATATCTTTGTCAGCAAACTCAATAAACTTTTGCAAAACTGTTCATCAACAATGATGATATGATGTCATTATGCTGCAGGTATAATCACCACTAATTGTTTATTCAAGAAAATGACATAAAACAGAAGGTTTTCATACCTCTTTGTACAATCTTGTCTCCCCTACTGATTTTGATATTTCGACAACGCAATTCATAGGAGCAACCTCAATTACCTGGCATTTCACATGGTATGATTAGACTGTCATTGATGTTAGACTACAGAATTCTGATATCTTGAAGGCATTTGCAGAACATTTTACCTCTGCTGATAGGTCATAATATGATCTGGTATATCTTTTCATGTTTGGTTTCTGATGCATTTTCATCTGATATGGTGTGGTATGGTCATTAGTTACTCTGTAATGGAGAAAATCTCTCTAGATGAAGACTAGGCAAATCCAACGAGTTTTTACCTTGAAATTGTTCATTCTTTCAACTGACAAACCCACATCCATTGCAGCAGCTTCTATTTTCCTTATGGTTTCGTTAACTGTATATTTGGATACCAGCCTGGTTTTCTGCTTCCTGTGTTCCTAGACAAGAGAGAGATTGATTGAAATTCACAAATGAACAAAAGAAGTTTGCAGAAAGTTAAGCCAAATTCTGATTTGCAGACTTGCCTGTTCTTCGAAGAGACCTGATAAATCAAGATCATGGGACATTGCTATTAGTTGGAAAGCGTTTACGAAACTTGAGGATTTAGGGGTCTCTGTTTCTGAGGTGTTGTCCTGCTTAGAATTTCAGTTATTCAGGTGAAAGCACAAAACTTGCAGTAGTTTTACTGTTTATGAACATTTACCTCATCGGCATTGAAAGCAGCATTAACATCATCCAAGAAGATTTTTTCATCACATTCATATCCACAAGAAGGCACGTAATCTATCTGAAACCATTCATCTTCAAGGATCTCTGGTAATGTTATTCTCTGTGATGATGGATGATTGCATTACTTTCTCGTTTGTTATGATCTTAGAATTTGTTAAAGCATAAAAACTCTTCTTGTTGATATACCTTTCTGGGATTTGGATCTAATATTCTTGATATTAGCTTCTTTTGACTTTCTGTAAACCACTGTGGACATGTGTAATCAGCTGCAGATATCTTTACACAAGCAGAGTCATCAGTGGAGTGATTACTTTCGCACATGGGAGAGATAATGAACCCTTATATAGATAGTACCTTCTTATACAACATTATGAGGCTACGTTCGTCAAATGGTAGATATCCCGACAGTAGCTCAAAAAGGATTACCCCACAGGACCAAACATCTGCAGCTGCTCCTTCATAACCCTTATTTGCAATAAGCTGTGTAGCAGAAGATCACCCGTTAGCTACAGTGGTGAACTGTGAAGAGAATTTAGGAATAAGTTCTGTTTTAGCCGTAACAAGCTGGGAATGACTTATAGGAATTTGGTAAAACAGGAAAACTGCTTCTTGCCTCAGGTGCTATATAGTAAGGTGACCCGCATGTTGTAGTTAGCAAGCTTTCGGTCTGTAAATCAGACATGGAACCAAGGTTGGAATTACTCAAACTAGCAAATAAATAAACATGAAGTGAAGAAAAATTGCTTGGCTTCCGGTACCTTTTGTAATGCACTTAGTCCGAAGTCAGAGACTTTCAGATTTCCTTTGCCGTCCAGAAGTAAGTTCTCTGGCTGCGCGCAAGATGTTCATCAGATTGTGTAAATCCTTTGCAGAAAATTGGCAAAACAAAAAAACAAAAAAGTGAAGAGCGTTGTGTCTTACCTTTAGATCTCTGTGATAAACTCCTCTGTTATGGCAATAGTCCACGGCATCTATCAATTGATGGAATATTCTTCTGGCCTCCGATTCACGAAGTTTCTTGGCATAGGACTGAGTAAACAGAGTTGAACAGAATTAGAAATGTCAACATAAAAACATCACCTTTGAATAGCTTATGCTGTTAGAGAATCCTCACCAGCTTATCTGCTAGTTGTCCTCCTGGTACATATTCCATTACCATATAAATCTTTGTCTTTGTGCCAATCACCTGTAATTGTCATTCAACAACAAGAAGTAATAAGGAAGAGTTCTCCGACTTGCGGATTTAGGACTTTAGTTGGGGCCACCCGACACAACATAAGAAACTAGCCATCAAACCTCATGTATCCTTACGATGCCGGGGTGGTGCACGAGCTTCATAGCTCTTATCTCCCTCTGCACCTAGAATTAGCATTTCCATATGTCAGAAAGAAGCATTTTTGGTGGAGTCGTCATCAAGTGTCTCTCAAGGAAAGAAGAGGAAATGTTAGATGGAATATCACCTGATCCTTGAGATGTCTTTGCATGACCTTGTTCTTATCCATGATCTTGATTGCAAGAGGACGACCATCAGTGCTGTCTACAGCCAGCTTAACCTTGGCAAATGTTCCCTCTCCGATTGTTCGACCTAACTGGTACTTACCTATGTTATTTCCATGTCCCATATTTTGTTTGTGACAAAATATGAACTCCTTTCTACTAACAACAGCTGTTCCTCCTCAAACTTCTTCCGAAAATATTCCCCCCTCGTTTTTTCTACTAATAACGAGTACAGGCACCTACCCTTCTTGCAGACGTTTTATATATATATATATACCTCTTTGCTCCCAAACCGGTGTCAAGAATGGAAGCGATGGATAGATTTGAAATTGGAGGATAACTCGTGCTTCTTCGCAGCTATCATATAAACACGGTTTTCATGCGGAGATCTTGTCTCATGTTTCTTTTATTTATACTCAAGCACATGCGTGTATTTAATAGTGGGCTAGGAGAATTCATATTTGAGTGTCCATCATGGAAGGGATGGAGACCGGTTGTTAGCTGGCTGATCGGTTGACTGTGTTTTGAATGGTAAGTTCGGTGATGCTGTAACATTAAAAACGTTGTTCAGACGTCCCACCAAAATTATGGGACCTTTTCATTTCAAAATTGGATCTGGGCACATGCCTTGACCTGAATGGGGAGGTCAATCATCTGCCGAGAAAGATAAAATTGAGAAACTTTTCAGATATCTGGACGCTCCAAGTTGGAATAGTCGAGGATGTTTCTTTCAGTTTTCCTCCATCGAGTTGAGTTGCTTTATAAGCAATGGCATGGCTAGCTAGGCCATCCGAATAAGAAACAAGTAGAGGAGAGTCGTTCAAATCTTGGTTTTCCATCCTATCCATTATTAATGGCTTCTCGAAGACGTCCAATTTCGCCGGCCATTCCGTGGCGTCATTGATGTCGCATTTTTCCTCCTTCGCTGTCATCATGCACGCAGCATGCATAATAATGGAATAAACAACGCTATCACTAATGGGAGTTGATGTTGTTGATTTTTGTCTTATTTATAAGCAAATTACAACTAGACACGTCTTAAGTTGTCTTTCTGAGAAACCCTCTTTCATTTTGATTTGATATATTCAAGTTAATGAATATTCTTGGGGTTTGACTCTGGTAAATTGTTTACCCAGCTACTCATTTCAAATTGAGGAGGCGGGCAGCTGGGAAGCGGTGTTTGATCGATTTGTGATTTTCTTGGTGTTATAGTAAATATTAGCATGACAACTTGTTGAGATCTAGTGAAAAATACAAGAGGATAAAAAAAGAAAATAAATAAAAAATATAAATAAACTTGAGTTAACCTAAATTAGTAATAAAAATTATAAGAATAAAAAAGTTTTAAAATGAATCCAAAAAATGCCATAGACACACTACTATGTATACATCCATACCATATAGCTTAAATAAAATATGACAGAAAAAATTGTAGAAAAAAATCAAAATTTTTTTTTTTAAATCTTATGAGCCCATATAAAGACAAAATCACCAGTCCTCCATTATACCTTATCCTCAATTATTGCCACCTCAGTTTCATTGTCCGAGAAAACTCTTTTAAGTGTTGTTAAAACAACATCGATTGCAGGTCCCCCAACATCCCATATGTCATGATTGTGCCACCTGTGCTTGTTTCTCACACACCTTTTATTTCAGTCCTCTATTCAATTAATTTTTGTATCTATTTGGATTTTAAACTCTTAATTTCTATAGGTGCTTACTAATTTTATTAGTTTCATTTAATTCTCACTCCGTGATGAAAATGTGGTATGATTGTTTATTTTTTCTTGAAATCATGATATTTTTTAATAGTCTCAATAATAAAAAAGGATGATTATCCAAGTTTTCATTTTTATAGATGTAATTGCATTACGTTGAATTTTTCAAGACCTACTATACATCGATTGATAGTTTAAACTTAGATTAAATTGATTTGGGTGATATGTTATGGTGTAGATTTGTGAATTTTTCTTTTTTATAATTTCCAAATAAAAACACACACAATATATATATATATATATATATATGGAAGCTATTTGACTTTATTTTAATTTCTAAGTTTTCATATCTCTTATATTTATTGTTTTTGTATACTTAATTTGCTAATAATTTTTATTTTGATGTAAGAGATTCTTCAGATTTTAGATATATATTTATTACAATGGAACTACATGAAATATCTAGTAGATATGTTTGTGAATAAAATAGACAAATGCAAGCCAAGAACTCTAGACCCGTAAAATGATTGTTTTGATAAAAATAAAAATAGTTTTTTATTTGATTATTAAATTATGTTTAAATTTTGTTACGTTCTATAAATACTATTCTACAATTACTATTCTACAATAGAGTTAGTATTTTTTTTTAATAATTTGTGTTCAAGAAGGTACTAAATTAGGATTAAAAGATGTTTTTTATTTTTTTACTTTATTTTGGAGGATATTTTTGTATTTTAGTACTTTATTTTTCTCTTTGTTTTAGATTTTTCTTTACTTTATAATATGGATCAATCGAATCCTTATCTAAATAGTTATAAGATAATTTTTGAATGATATTTTTTAAAAGTTATTATATATAATTACTTACTTTCTACTTATGTAAAAAACAATGTTATTTAGGGTTTCTCAAGGTCTTTTTTTTTTGCTCTTTTTATTTTTCCTTTCCATCTTAATTTTTCTAGTTAAAGTTAAATCTTAGTTTATGATTGATTGTATTAAATCTATCAATATTCGTTAATTCGAGTCTAGATCTAGGACATGAAACCTACACCAATAACATAATAGGGCTTCTCATTGAATGATTGTTTTTATTTTTTATTTTTTTATTTAATTTAGTAGTCATCTTTTATTTTTATGTCATTAATTATATTAGTAGATTATCTTGTTTTGATGACTTAATTGAGCTTTGTAATTGAATTAATTTTGATATACTTCATAATGAATTTATAAAATAAAGATAAAAGGAAAAACATTGATATGGACTTAGCAAAAGAAATTCTTTTAGGTTAAAAACAAATGGAATCTTATTATAATAACGATTAGGGTGAGTTTTGTTAGCTTTATTGTGTAAACAACTTCTTTAGCTATAACTCTTACAACTAAAGTAGATTTTTGTTAATTTTCACTACTAGAATGATTTTTGTTTTTTGTAATTATATAAAAAAACTCATATAACTAAAGTAGATTTTTATTAATTTTCACCTTTATTGAAAATTAAATGGTAACTTACCTTTTGAATCATTATTTCTTTGGTTATCTAAATGTCAGATGCAACAGCTTGCTTGATTTTACAAAAATTGCTATTTGAAAGAATATAAAACTTTATCTATAAAATTAGGTTATGAACTTTATTGATTAAATCCATTATGGCAACCGGTTCTAACAAACTTTTCATCTCCAATGTCTTCTAATTGAATTCATGACATAAGTTATAGTGCTTTCGTCTTTCTTTTTACCAAATAAAAATCACTATATAGAGCTTTTCTTTATTGGGATACTAGTGTTGAACTGAGTTATAAGCTTCAAGCATAGATTCTCAATTTTCAGGATAAAGCCATGATATAAATTCTGGTACCAAGGTTAGGTTGACCTCTTGAATATGATGGATAAAAATTTACACATGGTGCTTGTATTTTGTATGATTAATTTTAGGCTTTTACATATGCTTTGTAGGGTTAGTAAAGCTATTGTAACTCTCCAAGTACATCTCAATGTAAATAAAATACTTAAAAAACTAAGTATTTAAGATATGATTTTATAATGAAGAGCTCCTTAGCCGATGATGGGTGTATAACTCCATTTTTAAAGTTTAGACCACCACTAATTTAAAATTTACTCAAGTCCTTTTCTTGTTAAAGTTGATTAAGGAGCCTTTTAAAGAGGAATGATGGAGGTGATGACTCCTCTTATTATTATGGCTATATGTTTTTCTTGCCTCAACATTCTTCTCTTTGTATTTGAAGTGTTTATTTGGAGAATACTCCTCGTGGTAGCAAACATAACTTTTATGAAGGATACGACAGTGACAACACTTCCTATGTTTTTTTCTTATAATTTTTCTCTCATTTTTTGAAGAAGGTTGTTTGCACATATTAAAAAGTAAGGGAGTTAAATCTAAATGATATATAATTTATGGTGAAGGTGTTAAGTTCGTTAATAGTTTTTATATAGCCATAAGGGCCTCAACCATCATTTTCACTTATTAAGCTAATTGTTTAAGATTCTAAGTTAGTGGTGTAGTATGGTGGTTGGAAGGTTGGTGACTTCTTCAACCTCAGGTCTCTCTTAATTATCAGCTATAAAAAGATATAGTGGTTAAACTAGATTTTGTTTAAAGAGTTTTATATAAACAACATCACTAATGAGTTTGCTAAAAAATTTTCTTGGAAATAATCTTTTTAAATTTATTAAGGGTTGAAGGACTATTAATTCTATATTAGAATAATCAGAACACTTGTAAAATAAATTTTATATAAAATAGGGGATATTTTGATATATAAGTTGGCCTGGGTTGAAAATAAAAGCCTTGTAAAGATTTATATTTGTTTAGTTGCATTGTATAATTAAGGTTAACTGAATGAAAAAAAGATGAATTCTCTTTCCTAAAGATTTGAGGATGTTTATATAGTCGTAAATAATATGAATATGTTTCATACAAAAACAAACAAAGAGTGAATAATGATGATTTTTATATAGCCTTAAACCATATGAATATTTTTCATACAAAAACAAAAAGTGAATAGTGATGATAAACTATTATAAAAGTTAGTCTTTTACTAGATAATATAAATTGTGTAGTTAATAATAATTGGATTGATTGCTTGAATGACATATGTTTAATGATCATGTCAATAATTAGATATAATTTCATTATCATCTCGAAAATAAAAAATAAAAATAATTATAACAAAGAAGATGAGACAAAGATAAAGTTATGCTTGACAATAATAAACAAGATAAAGTGAATGCTTTTTTATTTTATTTGATTGATGAAGACAAATTATAAAAAAAATTGTTTTGTCCTTAATATACTATTATACTTGCAATACTTAGAATAATAAATAAAAACCATTATTTTTAATAAGGAGCATTAATTTTTTTTTAATTAATTTAAAATGATAATGTTCTTAACTCATTAAAATCACCTCAAAAAAGGATTCATAATCATCATAAATATATAAAAATTCTTTAAGAAGATAATATAATTAAATTATAATTTTCTCAATCATTAAATCATTTCTTCAAATATATTTGATAATAAAATAAAAAATTAAACCAATCATACATCAAATAAAATATTTACACCAATACAAAGTTAAAACCTAACATAGATAGAAATGCAAGATAACAATTTCATCACAAAAGTATATTATTTTGTTATCATTCAGTCCTCACATCTTCATCAGGAAATCTAGCTCCTTTAAGAATATGAATAATTTTTATTTCTCTGCATTATATATATTTTAATCATCATTTTAAAATTTCAATAACAATATTTAATAATGTTAAAAAAACCCACTCTTTCGGTAAAACCTTTTTAATGCTTTTTAATAAAAGCCACTCTTTGGTTAAAAATAAAACCTAGTTTTGTCTCTATCTTCGTTCTCAATGTCCCTTCTGTTCATATAGATAAACATCCCTAAGGTAGTGAGGAAAAAAATTAATTAAATTAAAAAAATATAATTAAAATATTAAATTATAAACATAAATTAATTAAACTTATTAAAATTTAAAAAAAAATCAACTGATTTGGTTCGGTTTTGATTTTATAAATAAAAAACTAAAAAAACTAAATCAACCGATTTGGTTCGGTTTTAATTTTATAAATAAAAAACTAAAAAAACTAAATCAAATCCAAACTGAAAAAACCAAAACAAAATTGAGCAAAAAAAATCGAGTCAAACCAAAAAAGTCAAGACAAACCAAAAAAAATCTAGCTAAAACTAAAAAAACCAAGTCAAAACTGAAAAAGTTGAGCTAAAATAAAAAAAATAGAGCCAAATTAATTTGAACCAGTTTTTATCCTAAAAATAAACTGAATAGAACTAAAACTTACTTATTTGAATTGATTTTAATTTGATTTTGATTTGTTTTTAATTTTAATTAATTTATTTTTTTAATAAAATCTAAAACAAATAAAAAATAATCACTAAAAGTACAGGGATCCAAATTTATGAGTTTAGATGCAGAGGACGGGCCCACATCCTTATCGAGAACTTGATTCAAACCGAATTTGTAGTATTTGAAAAGTGGGCTGCAACCACAATACCATCATCAGTCCATTGTTCGGGCCCATCATGTGGGGAGAATTGAGTGCTCAAACTACGTCGTGTACTTAGCTACTTGCATCAACGAGTTCGAGTCGGGGTGCGTGAAAGTTTTGTAGAGTTTGTTTTTTTAAAGTGTATTTTATAAATATATTAAAATAATATTTTTTTTTTAATTTTTTAAAATTTATTTTTAATATTGAAAAATAAAAAAAATAATTAAAAAAATTTAAAATAAAAAAAATCAAAACTTTCATTAGAAAGAGGTTGAATTGCTTGCAGTACAAGCAGACAACAAGAAGCAGCTTGCTTGTTTTTTCATGTTTAGAAGTATTTTTTAAAAATTTAAAATTAATTTACCTTTTTATTTTGCTTCAAGCTTACTTTAAATAAAAATATTTTAAAGATCAACCAATAGATATCAAACACCTAGAGTATAAAAGTCTCTGACATTGACAGTGATTGTAAATAAAGGATAAAGGCCATCAGCTGGTGCAATTTTCCAGCAATTATTTTTGGTCAATGGCAGTGTCACCGCTGACTCACAAGTTTAATCCAAAGATACCTCGTCATCACTTCCCTTCCTATTAAATTAAAAAAAAAAAATCCATACAGGTTTCTTTCTTATCTTTGAATTTTCTTTTTAAGAAACTTGACATCATGCATCCATAGCTGGCACTCGAGATCACCGGAGCAACGAAACTTATCTTCTTCCTTTTGGGATAATTTGCATGGTGATAGCCTTTTTATTATTATAATTATTATTACACTCTTTGTTTTTTTTTTTTGGAAATTAACTTTTGAGTATGGAAAAATGATTATATTATAACAATATTCTTAAAATAATTCTTTATTCTTTTGTAAAAAGAATTCTATATCACCATGAAAGGAAAGAGGAAAAGGAAACAGGAAAAACTCTCAACCAATATCAAACTTCTCTACCTATCATCACTCCATATATATATAATATATATGTATGAATTATTTAGTAAATGATAAGGGTTAGATATATGTGAATTATTTAGTAAATGATAAGGGTTAGTAGAAGATTAAATTTTATTTTTGGACATTACTGAAAAAGAGAGAGTTGCAAATTAAATTAGCAATTTGGGTGATAATTTAAGGAGGGCAAGAAGGGATAATTAAAAGTGGTAACAAAATCGGATCACAAGCAAAATCAAATCCTGAAATTTATCATTTTAGTTAAAGTCAAATTCTTTGAATTTACAAAATAAAAAAAAATCCTGTTTTTATAAATATTATCCTTTTACCAAGGCTGTCTCTATAAATAGCAGCAACATCCTCAGCTATTGTGCGTGTCTCTTTCTCTTGTAATCCCAGGAGTCCGATTTTCATTTGTGAGTTTCTCTCTCTCAATCTCTCTTCTGCTTTATCTTTTATTCGAAGTTTTTTTTTTGGGTAAAGCTCAGTGCCTTGATGATCTTCTTGTTACTGTAATATTTGCTGGGGTGAATGACTGAATTTTATTTTTGTTGACAACCCATGATTGCTATATACTAATGTAACCATGGGTTGTTTTCCAGTTTTTGGTCCATGTTATGTTTTTTTTTGGCAAAGCTTAGTGCTTTGATGGTCTTCTTGGTGTTGTAAGCTTTGCTGGAGTGGTGGTTGATTTTTATTTTTTTGATAACCCATGATTGTTATCTAGTCATGTGATCATGGGTTGTTTTCTAATTTCTGTTTATGTTAAACTCAAATACTTATTTGCTAATCGTGCAGCACTTACTGGACTGATTATCTGTTTATGAGAGTGAGAGAGATAGAGAGGATGGTCACTTTTTTAGTTTTGATTTATTATTATTTCGGGCTCTTAAAGTTGTTTAATTGGTCATGGGACGTGTGGGTGTTGATCTATGGTTTTCGTTACTTGATTGATTGATTATCGTTTGTTTGTTTGCCTTTTGTTTCTTTATATTGCAAGGTTAGCTTCAATAAGATGAAAGGTGGGAGGATACTGCTGCTTCTTGTTTGCTCGAGTGTAATCACTTTAGGAGTGGTAAGAGAATAAAAAAAATAAATCTTTTCTGGTGTTGCATGGGGCAATATTGAGAATCTATACTGCTTTCTAATGTTAGTTTATTTTGCGGACCATATGGGACCAATGGGGATTTTGTGGAAATCCAGTTGTGGGCTAGGATTCACAGTTTAACGACATTATTCATTTATGTTCTCATTTTACTTTCGTTTCATTACATTGCAATGCAGTTTGCTGCTGGTCCACCAACATGCCCTGCTGATCTTGGTGGAAAATGCAGTGATTCTGAAGAATGGGAAGGGGAGTTCTTCCCTGGCATTCCCAAAATTAAGTACGAGGTAAAGACATTTATGACCTATAGCTTGGTGTCTTCAATCATGTATATTTTACCTGCACTTTTAGCTCAAGAGTCAAATTTTATTTGCAGGGACCTTCTAGCAAGAATCCACTAGCATTCAAATGGTATAATGCGGAAGAAGAGATTCTTGGGAAGAAAATGAAGGTGGAGTGCAGTTTTGCTATTATATACTGTAGCAAGCAGTAGAACTATTGCTGACTGTTTCTTCTGATAACAGGATTGGATGAGATTCAGTATTGCATTTTGGCACACATTCCGTGGAACAGGAGGTGACCCCTTTGGTGCGCCTACCAAGTATTGGCCTTGGGAAGATGGAACCAATTCTTTGGCTATGGCCAAAAGGAGAAGTAAGATCCATGATGTTACACATCATTTACTGAGTAATGTGCTACAAAGTTGGTGCCTATTTGTTTATTGATTTTTTTTTCCCTTTTGATACACAACCCAGTGAGAGCTAATTTTGAGTTCTTGGAGAAGATTGGAGTTGATAGGTGGTGTTTCCATGATAGGGATATAGCTCCTGATGGTGAAACTCTGGAGGTGAGTGAGTTTTTAAATAACAGTATCAGCTGGGGGGGAGTGGATTCCTTGCTTCTGCTAATGAGCGTTTGGTTGTTAAACTTTAATTATGGATAGACTTAATTGTTTCTTGTTTCTTTATTTTGATCTATGTTTTTTTATCACACTGGTGTACCACTGAACTAATTGAGGCCTCTTCTTTTTGTTACAGGAAAGTAATAAAAACTTGGATGAAGTAGTGGCCCTTGCTAAAGAACTTCAGGTAATCTTTGAAATCAAAGGGACGATGATCATATGACTGAAATAAAACAGATATGTAACTTCATACATCTTTGTATTAGCTTAACTGGTGTCAGAACCTTATTGTTCTTTAAGGCTTGTTGTATACCTATCCGACATCAGTTTTTTCATCATAGTTTGATATTTACCTTTTTTTTTTCTAATATACATTATTTGGCAACTATTTTCATATATTTAAACTGCTTTTTTATATATTTCTGTCAAAGGAACTGTGCCATGTAGACTGACATAGAATTCCCTTATTCTTGTATCATGAACTGCAGCTGGGTAGTCAATCCTTTTTTTAAAGGAAAAAAATAACTAAATATTTCTGCAATCTAATTCTATGGCAGATTTAAACCGCTTATTTGCCTACCTTGTCTTTTTTCCCCATTTATTTAAATTCAATAGTTACCTTCATATTTTCTTGGTTGCCAAGTTGGTGAAGGGAAAGAAGTGTATAAATTTATAGCCGCCAGAAAAACTGGAGCAAAATCTCCTTGCCTTTTTTCTTTCATGTGATATTTCACAAGAGGTGCAAGTTGTAGTGGCACAGAACTTTCACAATCACTGATCGACCAAGTTATTCAATATTTGGAGGAGAACCACTAACACTCCCTTATGTGGATTTGGATATCAGCATGCTTGATACTTTATTTTGTGTGTGTACAGGAGATTATGAAGTTTGGTGTAGTTTTTGATGCCTCAATCACGTGACTGTGCAGGAAACCAACATCCGTCCTTTGTGGGGTACAGCACAATTGTTTATGCATCCTCGTTACATGCATGGTGGTGCTACTAGGTATTCTATCCTTGACTGGATGTCATGCTATTGATGCTATCCAGATCATTTGTTCATAGACTTAATACTTTTGGGTCCTCTTTTCACAGTTCTGAGTTAGGCGTGTATGCATATGCTGCAGCTCAAGTGAAGAAAGCAATGGAGGTGAGTTGATCTGTGTATAGTCTTGGGAAAAAAAATGATAATTGTGTGAATGTAACATATATGGAATTTTTATATCAACAATTTGCAATTAACACCTCTTATTCCAACAGGTCACACATTACTTGGGTGGAGAAAATTACGTCTTTTGGGGTGGTCGAGAGGGTTACCAGAGTCTTTTAAACACAGATATGGAAAGAGAGCTTGATCATTTGGTATGTTCTCCAATTCTCGCCTTCTTTACATTAAAAGATCTCTTACTACTTACCTCTCTGGTCAGTGTTGGTCGGCCCTGGAGTTTCAATGATGAAGTCTGGGTCATCTTACTAACTAATGATTTCCAACATCTTCCTGCAGGCAAGGTTTTGCGAAGCTGCTGTTGCCTACAAGAAGAAGATTGGATTCAATGGTATATTTCTGTTCTTTTCATAACACAGGCAGCATAGACTCAGTTGCACAATAGGATACAATAGGCATTTCCATTTTCATGGGGCATGCAGAACATGAATAGCTCATCCTCTATTGTCTTGTTTTTTTATCCTTCCTTGACGTTGTCCTCATTTTATCAAATGTTTCCTTCCAAAATTTTGAAGTGATCTTAATATTTGCTTGCTCTGTCTTTCAGGAACTCTGCTTATTGAGCCCAAGCCTCAAGAACCTACCAAACACCAGTATGTCTCATTCTCATTTATGTGATTGGCAGCCTTCTTCACATTTCCCTTTGATCTTACTTATGATGCTGTTTTATCAGGTACGACTGGGATGCTGCTACTACAGCTAATTTCTTGCGGAAATATGGCCTAATAGGTGATTATTTAAACTTATTTCCCTAACTCCTCTGATTTTGTTGCAACCATCTAGAACTAGCTTTACTTCATCCTGTTCTTTTTTTTTTTTTTTACATTTTTTTCTTAATAAACTTTAATTTGACTATTTTTATTATGGAAGTAGTTGGGTTAATCTATGTCACTTTGCTAAGTATTATAGCATTTGGGCATCTTTGCTTTTGATTGATGATTTTGGGGAATAAATTATTTGTGCTTTCCTCAACTCAAATTGGCCCTTTGTCACACATCGCATGGTAGTAAAACTTCTCATCCATTTTTCTTTGTGTTCGCTTGAGTTGTGGAGTTGTTTTCCCATAAATAAGAAGTTCAAAGATTAGTCCCAAAATAATTCAATTAACAGAGCTGGAGATCGTCATTGTAATAATGTGATGATGTTATTATTGGACATTGATGAACAAATAGTTTAAAGTGTCGTAATTTAGAATACATAAACTGGTAGAAAGTCTAACCAGTGACAATTCAATTAGGAAGTTGGTCCATATTGCAAACCCTGACTAGTTTGATATAGGAAGGTTTTAACAGGTGACACTGATTATTATTTGGAGGTGAACTGTATGGCACATTTTTTTCAAATTGCTACCACTGGCATAACCATGATTGCTTAAGTACTTGCTTTCGGCTATCAGATTTAACTAACACCAGCTATAACTAGTGACCTCAGTGGTTATGGCTTCACCAAATTCAATTGATTACCCTGTTCTTTTTTTTTTTTTTTGAAATAGATCTAGCAGTCATTATTTTTGAAGAGGCATCTCTCCTGTTTGGCAAGACTCAGAATTGTCGTTAAACCTCCCTTTTCCATTTCCATTTGCAGGGGAATTCAAGCTAAACATAGAGTGCAACCATGCCACTCTTTCAGGTCACAGGTACAAATCTTCTTGTATCATGTCCTTGTCACCTAATAAAATAATTAGCCAATCACGTGATTATACATGGAATTTTTTCTATCATCCTACGACGTTTGAGCATTCTGCAGCTGTCATCATGAGCTTGAAACTGCAAGAATTAATGGTTTACTGGGAAATATTGATGCGAACACTGGAGACCCTCAGATTGGTAATGATTAGATTAGAAACCTTGAGTGTTTCAATTTTTTTAGTTGTATTTCAAGCTTACTAACTCCGCATGTAAATCCTTGAGATCTGTGGTTGTAACATAGGGTTGTTATCATGACTACAGGATGGGATACAGATCAGTTCATGACTGATATTTCAGAGGCAACTATGGTTATGCTTAGTGTGATAAGAAACGTATGTGTATGATTTGTTGCTTTCAATTGGCTGTGAAAACTCAAATACCTTATCATTTGAAATGGAATTACATTAGCTGGTTTTCGTTTTGCCTAATGCCAGGGAGGATTAGCACCAGGAGGATTCAATTTCGATGCAAAACTGTTAGTTTCACATCTTCCTTGAATATTTTTATCAATTTTGATGTATTGCCTTCAGCTTTAGAATGAAGACCTTATGTGATGACCTTGATTATGTGATTTTTTAGGCGAAGAGAGAGTACAGAAGTTGAGGACATATTCCTTGCTCATATTAGTGGAATGGATACCCTGGCTCGTGGACTCCGAAGTGCTGCCAAGTTGATTCAGGTGAGATCTTTAATTTTCATCTTCTCTACGAGCTTTTCATGGAAGTTGTTTTTATTATCTTGATTTTGATGCCTTTGAATTTGTTTGCTGCGGAACAAAGGATGGTTCATTGGCTGAGCTTGTTCGCAAACGCTATCAGAGTTTTGATACAGAAATCGGGGCGCAAGTAGAGGTAACATGCTTCTTATTCCTATTTTGACATGTCTTTTAATTTCCCTTGTGGCTAACAGGTAATGCATCTTCCAACAGGCTGGTAAGGGAGATTTTGAAACGCTTGAGAAGCTGGCCATGAAATGGGGTGAACCCAAGGTTCCATCTGCTAAGCAGGTATTTGGAAAGTAACAATTTTTGCTTCAGCAATTGCAAAACATCCATCACCATGAATCCGACCCTTTTATGCAGATATTATAGATTGAAAGACTGAATGGATTTTTTTTGTTTCTCCATGAGTTCTAGCAGGAAACGTGATGGAAAAACTGCTGGCTTTCCCTTTACATATCAGTGATAATTTTGTAGGATTTATTTCCTATAATTATGGAAACATGTTGGCAACACATCTCATATTTTATTCTCTCAGAGAGGAAATATACAGACTTGAAATACATAGTAGCCATGATTTCTTATTTATGCTAAGTCTAGGATAATTCCATTCTATATGCATGGTAGGTGATCCATTCAACATAGAAGATCAAAATGCATCAAGTCCATTGGCTAAACTCCTAGATAATCCATGAACTTCAAGAACTTTCCGAATTAGTATCCAGATTTTAGCATGAGAAGTTAAAAATAAAAGTATGCAGTGCTTTTAGAAAGTGCTGGTTGAGCTTTTGCTACGAACCTCCAGCATGTTTTTATTTTCTTTGATAATTGAATCCATCTTCCCTTTAAATTTTTGTTTCCTCGACTGGTGCTTATTTCCTGCTTCTGTTAAAATTTGAATTATTAGAATGTGACTAGAATCTAATTCAAGATATTCGTGCCATTTGCAGGAACTTGCTGAGATGATTTTCCAGTCTGCACTGTAGAAAATGGCACGTAGACAGATGACTAGAGCCCCCCCACCCCCCGTTTCCC